GACCCGTCCAGCTTTAGGGGAAGTAGCTAGAACAATAACCGGAGGCGGTACTCATTAAAGTACCACCTCTCCCACATTAACTGGGCACCCTGGGACCAACCACATGGGATTTATAAACTTTATCAACTTTATTTTAAGCATGAAGTGGTCAGAACAATAAGCTTCTACACGTCACTCTGCCAAGAATCTTCAAAGACACTAACAAATTGTAACTTGCTGTGGTTTTTTAAGCGCTGTAACTCCCAGTTCCTTACTGAACCCTAACTGCTTGGCACCCAATTAATTCACATGCTCTAAGACAGCAATTTAGTAGCATTTCAATAGAAATGTTTCTGTAGGCAACTTTTCTGAAAGGAACCCAAGACAAGAATGCCTGTTTTTCTGAAGTTTTGTTTGTTTCCTTTAAAAAGATATCCACCTTCCAGTCGCAACAGCTTTTATGAAGATCTTGGCAGGCAGTTTTTTTCCTTCTCCTAAATCCCATGCAGTACTTAAAACTTGCAGAACATGAGAAAACTCACCGATTCAGTAACAGATTGATTAGGTATCTATTAAATGTCGATTTCCCAGTGTTTTTTGGGCCACACACCAGAACCAGGGGCACACCTTCATCTTCCGCTGGAAAAACAAACATACTCTGAAATGGACCAATGCTGTCAGTTGCTCTGATGTGCCCAGTTTACATAAATTTGTTTACACAAAAAAAAAAAAAAAAAAAAAAAAGAAGAAGCCCCAATCCCCTACAGACCCTGTAGTCTGCCTAGGATATATTTCAATTAAACAGAAAAAAATTCTGTTGAAGAGAAGCCATTAAGTATACTTAAGGGAAAAGGCCCTGAAATTAGAAGCAAGCCCTAGCACTAAAAGCCATCGTGTAATACCCCCAATTGCTCATGGTATTTTAAATGTTGCTGGGTAAGTAAGGGGCTGTTTTTTCTAGTTGCTACAAAAGAGAGTGAAATTAGAGTTTTGACGTCAGACTGGGAAGCGCCTTTACAGTGGTGAGCTACCTGTCTGGCAGCAGAGGCACAAACCCACTCAAGGTGAGGCACAAGCTCAGGACTCCCGCTATTTAGGGGAAAACAGTGAAACTCAACTGGTGCCCGTCACAGAGCACGCTCACTCTCCCTACCTTGAACTCAGGAAAAGCCTCATGTTATTTCCTTTCCCCAGGCTACCACAGCCCCCACCTCACCACGCACATACCACTCACCACAGCACGCTTGAATCAGCTCCTCCAGGGCCAGGAACATGCTCTCTGACACCAGCAGCCCACGGTCAGGGCTACACTTCACAATACCAACAGATGCCAGAACCGCGTCTTCTGGCGTGAAGCTCGTTTCTTCCTTTTTCTAGGGAAGAGTGAAAAAAAACGCTTAGAGAGATGCGCGTAAGGCTGTGTAGTGGCGTTGCTGGACACTGATGGGCATGATGAGTGAGGCGGTCGCCTCGTGCTCAGCATGAGGACCGTTCTGGGGAAGGAGTGGCATCCGCGCTGCCGC